AGACACAAACAACAGATAAACTAGTACAGGAAGACACAAACAACAGATAAACTAGTACACGAAGACACAAACAACAGATAAACTAGTACAGGAAGACACAAACAACAGATAAACTAGTACACGAAGACACAAACAACAGATAAACTAGTACAGGAAGACACAAACAACAGATAAACTAGTACAGGAAGACATAAGCAACAGATAAACTAGTACAGGAAGACACAAACAACAGATAAACTAGTACACGAAGACACAAACAACAGATAAACTAGTACAGGAAGACATAAGCAACAGATAAACTAGTACAGGAAGACACAAACAACAGATAACCTAGTACAGGAAGTCACAAACAACAGATAAACTAGTACAGAAAGACACAAACAACAGATAACTAGTACACGAAGACACAAACAACAGATAAACTAGTACAGGAAGACACAAACAACAGATAAACTTGTACAGGAAGACACAAACAACAGATAAACTAGTACACGAAGACAACAAACTACGAAGAAAATGTTCATGATATTTATATTTTTGTTATTATTGTGTTTGTTTTTTTTGTGAAGCGTTTGGCTGTTCAAATTTCATGTATAACAAATGGTTAATAAGAGTTAGCATTTCAATTAAATTGAAAGAAAATGATGGTTCCTCTTTATTTTCTGTATAGGGGTGGCCTTGTTGGGGGTAGGGAAATGGCCAGTTAAGGCACCTGGAAAAATTAATCGATTGGAAAGCGTTCACTGAAAATTTGCGGATGTAATCTCCCACTGGGAGCTAGAAGTAAGCCCGAATCTTTATAGGAGTAATACCAGTCTTTGAGGTTTGATAACCTCAATGGATCGAGTGACAAAAACTCTGCTTGGGTCCATTATTGTTTGATTGGCGAGTATAGTTTATAATGAAACGCTGGCTTAGCAAATTAAAAGACAGCGTGACCGAGAAATGATGTTTTGCCAATCCTGTTAAAGGTAGGTAGTCATACGTGTTTCGATTGTTGGACTGTCGAGTACAAAACGAATCGTCAAGCATTTAGGATTTTCTTTTGTGAAAAGTTGAGGGCAACAGTTGGGGGGGGGGGGGGTAGATATCCTCGTAGCATAGAAACAGTTCCCTTAATAAAACACAACAACAAAAATTTGAATAAAATACAGAATTCGTAAAAATATAATAAGTAATAATA